GAGGCTTGAGCAGGAGTGCCTTCCGACAAGACAGAATTAGACTCTGGGGAAAGTGGAGTGTGCTTGCCTAGTGGAGTTTGGCCTAGAGTGTCGGCAATCGTCTGTTCAAGACTACGGCTTTTGGCCATTGAGCGAGCGCAACGATGCACGGAGCACACATCAGATGCTGCTGACATTAATGATGAATTAAGGGGCATCGAAGAGATGGTGTTGTTGGTACAGGTAATTGAATGAGAATCTGACGCTACAAACGATGAATCTGACCGAGAGAGAGACGATTGTTCCGTGGGTGCCGTTCTTTCGTTGGCCCCAAGTATACAATCTTGAGTATGACATCCCCATGCATATGAAGTGGAAGAGGCCGAGATTGGCAGCACAGCATAGCTGGTTCTACCGTGTGATTGGGGTAAGGCTTGCAATATTAGCCGTGGAAGACTGTCCGGCAAACAACGCAGGATGCTTTTAACCGCTTTCTGACGTGACTCAAAGGTGAAGTCGTTCGAACTCAGCCAGGTAGACAAAAATCGGACCCGTGCAGATTGAGTAGCGCTAGAGGGACATTCAACAGCCGACGGATTCATCGGATGCTGGCTAGCCCCGAGAGCCTCGTGAGGAGCTGAGAATGGGCAAACTAGTCTCGCCGCAAGTGGATGTCCAGTGGAAAAGACATGGCAACATGTTCCGCAGACAGAGGAACCCAAATCCAAGACGGCGCGGCCGGATTCGAGCGCCCTATCGGGATTATCAGCAGGAACCAATCGCATACCAGAACGAAGGAGGTCGTCGGAAAATTCTCGATCAAATTGGCAACAACTGCACGCAGGCAAGGGCTGACACCAGCAAGTTGTACACATTTCGGTGCCAAATGCCCCAGCCGTCGTGCCCAAACAATACTGGTGACCCAAACGGAGGTGCGAATCACCGTTTGAATCCTGGTTCTGTCCGGCGAAAGTGATGGCTCGACACGAGGCACACGGACAAAGAGGTAGGCAGTGTTTTCGCTCCAAACCGCGAATAGGAAGATTGGTCACTTGGCCTTTATTTGATGGCTCAGCATATCGGGACTCGGACTGATTGTCTCGCTGATATGGAATAACGCAAGCCGAATCGTGTTCGGCCAATTTGCAGGGATGGTGGCAACCAGGAGAAACAATTGAAAGGGCAGAGGAACCGGTATACGGTTGTTTAACCAGTTCTGGAAGGTTTTCTGCTATAAAAGAGTCGGTACCTATGCATGAATGTGGCTTGCAAGCGTCCTGGACGGGTTTGGCTAATTCGGCATTGGTAACTGAAACCGAAACTGGCGTCCCGAATGTCTGTACGGCAGAGTAGGGTACGCTTGATAGGGAAGAATCCAAAGAAGAAGTTTCCGCCACGGAGGCTCTGGCAGATTTCGTTGTATTAACTTGTAACAAAAAGGGTTGATTCGAAGAGCCACTAAGTCCTTTAATGGGGCTAACTTGAGACTGGTCATGCAGGTTGCCAAGCACGAAGAGAACGCCATCAAAGGGAGCGGAGGTGGAGTACCGAGAATTAATGGCAGGTGAGACCAAAGAGTTGATGTGATGCCGTAAGAGCTGTGGAAAAAGAAAATAATTCATGGGATATTTCAAGACAATTCCAATAAAGAGGATATAAATAGAAATAGGTTAATGGCATGAAAATTGATTTCACAAAATCCCACAGTCAATTCAGTCTCATCCCAAAAGACGTGTTGTCAGATAGGATATTTATACTCGTTTTAAGATGGACGATGGATTTAAGACGAATATTGGGACTGTTACTTTAAGTTTATGCAATCGCGATCTATCTCGCTTATATTTCGGATTCGGAACTATCTGATTAAGCGTACTTGGCATAT